CTAACTACCTTGTCAGGTATCAGTAAAAACTTTACATATGTACAGGTTGTAGAATGTAGCCAACTTCAGTAAGCTAACTACCTTGGATTCTACAACCTGTACATATGTAAAGTTTTACTGATATCTGGTAGCCAACTTCAGTAAGCTAACTACCGTGTCAGGTGACATACCTTTTCTGTTTGGATCATAACGAAAGACCCCTTGTCTAGAACATAACGTATATCATTCAACTTGATGTGTTTCTCTAGATTGATAATTTTTTCATTTTCTTCAGGAACACTTGCCATTCCATGGTCAGACAAAACAACAAGGTTTAGCTAAAATAGACAATATGATTATTAGCATATTGTAATTACATTAAAATGAAATCTCAATTGATGGTTAAGCATTTTTAAACAAAAACTGAAACTACACGTATTTATTTTATAGAGGAAAAACAAGACTGACGAATGATGGACATCTTTTAACAATCTATCGGTATATAAATTTGTCAATAACTTCTTTTATATTAATTAAAGATGTTTAAATAAATAAATAACATAGTGTTTAAACTACTGCTAAGTCTGTCATATCCCATATGGCTTGACGAACCTTAGTACTGGGTGAAAGGCCTTATTGGCACGTGATTCAGAAGTTCTTATTAATAATACTACGAACAAGAAGAAACAATTTAAAAAATGGTTTGTTATAAATTTTTTGTGCATCCTTAATGGTAAACTGATAGACTAGAGGGAAGTGGACAGCACTCACTGCCTACTCTCAGGCTACTCTTATCTAATTGAATGGTGAGGTTATTTGCTGTCACTCTTATAGTACACCTATAGTTCCAAACTGCAGAGTACATTTTATAACAATGGGACATGAAACATGAATCCTTGGACTTTAAATTTACAGTCCAGATACAATAAAGTGGACCTTTCAAAAACTGAACTACTGTACGAGACAACATGTAAATCCAAAAGGGAACACTTAATGGTTGAAATAAACAAATGTATGTCGTGAGATGTTATCAAAACACTTAATGGTTGAAATAAACAAATAATTATCAAAACACTTAATGGTTGAAATAAACAAATGTATATCGTGAGATGTTATCAAAACACTTAATGGTTGAAATAAAAAAATGTATATCGTGAGATGTTATCAAAACACTTAATGAAACTAAAATCTAACTTCCACATGCTGGAACATGGTGATGATCATGACTTGGGGTACTTTGTGATCATGCCATTGTGATGATTGTGACTGGGGTACTTTGTGATCATGCCATGGTGATGATCGTGACTGGGGTACTTTGTGATCATGCCATTGTGATGATTGTGACTGGGGTACTTTGTGATCATGCCATGGTGGTGATCATGACTGGGGGTACTTTGTGATCATGCCATGGTGGTGATTGTGACTGGGGTACTTTGTGATCATGCCATGGTGATGATTGTGACTGGGGTACTTTGTGATCATGCCACGGTGATGATTGTGACTGGGGTACTTTGTGATCATACCATGGTGGTGATTGTGACTGGGGTACTTTGTGATCATGCCATGGTGATGATTGTGACTGGAGTACCCTGTGATCATGCCAAGGTGATGATCGTGACTGGGGTACTTTGTGATCATGCCATGGAGGTGATTGTGACTGGAGTACTCTGTGATCAGGCCAAGGTGATGATTGCAACTGGAGTACTCTGTGATCAGGCCACGGTGATCATCGTGACTGGAGTACTCTGTGATCAGGCCACGGTGATGATTGTGATTGGAGTACTCTGTGATCAGGCCATGGTAATCATTGTGACTGGAGTACTCTGTGATCAGGCCACGGTGATGATTATGACTGGGGTACTTTGTGACTATACCATGGTGATGATTGTGACTGGAGTACTCTGTGATCAGGCTATGGTGATGATTGTGACTGGGGTACTTTATGATCGTGACTGGGGTACTTTGTGATCATGCCACGGAGGTGATCATGACTGGGGTACCTTGTGATCAGGCCATGATGATGAATGTGAAACTGAACCTACGAAAAGATGACCAACTTTTGAGAAATATTTATTTCTAAAAATTAGAGAAAATATTAAAGAATGAATGATGTCACTTTCTAGATTCAACCTTTAATTAGAATACAAGGTTAAAATTTGTTATTATGGTGTGGATAAAAGGAATTAAACTTATTACCCGGAAACTATCTTCTCTACTAAAATATCTGTTGCATTACTTTTATAAAAACATATAAAATATTTAATAGTTACCTCCTGTTGCAGCTCTTTTTTTAAAATATTATCCTGCAACTCAAACAGAGCAAAATCAAAGTCCCTGATAACTTCTTTAGTCTCTTTCGCATTAGGTCCATATTTATGTCCTGAAAGTTAACAATACAGCTCTCACAGATATAAAATAACATATCACCCATAGTTGTTTTTAAGATAAATTTAACTGTCTATTCGAGTCATCTACCACACAGGTTTCAATAGCATAAAATCTACCTTTTGATAAACAACACATAAATGAAAAGTTTTTCCAGAAATAAAAACAAAACAAACCTTCTACTGCAATAGCAGTTGTTATTATTAATTTCTGACAGTTAATGTTGAGTTTTGAGCTTTTGTTAAGAAAATAATTCTTATTTGTAAACCATCTTTCGTGTTTGTCTAGACTGTACAAGTAGAAATACACACCATATGAAAACAAATCAAATTTATCTGTTTACTCTCACTAACTAACGATCATTCCATTGAGGTCAGACTGTATTAGACTGGAATTTCACCTTAAGAAATTTCTTTTTTCTTTCTTTTAATTATCTAGATGCCGTCATAAATATACTTTTTCATAAAGATTGAAAAAAATCCTACAAAAAAACATTAGTTATAATGAAATAATTTTGTCTTTATTAATGCATTATACCACTTCCAGCATCAACATTCAAGGGTTAAGATTTCTATACATTAAAAATAAAATATATTAAATAATTATAGGATTCTAAGAACATTTTAAACATGGATTACTCGTTATTAGAAAAATGAAGAGAACTTTGTTATTTAAATATGTAATGATATATAATGTAAAGAAAATATCCAGCTGATATCAATGCAATTCAAACAATTGTATATGTGAATAAGCTTGCGTGTGAAGAAATTTATGTCGGCCAAATAGGTAATTTTAAGTTCGGAATGATTCCCTATAAAACTCTTCTAAAATATCTAAATAGTAGTTCTCTCAAAAGTTCTTTTAGTTTTACAATCACAGTTTGGGTGAAAATCAATCCTTAAAATTCCAAGAGTGGATTTAAAAAAAAATCAAAAATACTATAAGCAACACGGCAAATACGAGGATTTCATTCAGTTTGATCATGTATAAAACTTACTTTGTAGCCGATTTGATTCGACGATGTGTTGCAAATTGATGAACTTCAAGACAAATTTCCAAAAGAGATAGACAGACTGTTCTAATTGGTCAATACAATGCGTTCTACTAAAATACAGCCAATTAGTATCGATCTTACATTGGCTGTATCAAGTTGTATGTTACACCTGCTTTTTCATGGTGAAATTTCTTACATGAAAGAGCGAGTGTAACATACAGCTTATTTTGTCATGAAATGTAATCCCTACACGAGGCCAATGAATATCATACAAACATACATAAACACAATATTCCAGTTCAGTTGTTTTTGTGCAACACAATAACTTTTTGCACCACTGGACAGAAAGTTGTATTTTCTGTGTGGCAGATTTTGGTAATCAAAATAAAGAATCAAAGATGTGATCAAGAGTACTAAAAAAATTAATTGTATTTATTAAAACGAAGGACTGATATTTTCTTAACAATAAAAATTCTTAAAATTTTGATAAGTGCATTGTTTACTGATGAAACACCTTGGAGCTGTGGAGAAAATGAAAGTTTGAACACTTTTCAAAATTTTCTTTGCAAATCACATTAAATTAATGTTACATAATGATAAAACTTTATGGAAATTGTTGGCTGATGTAATGTTACAAAACACAGTAACTGAATAATGCTGAAACCCAAGTTTCTAATATTTTCATAAATCTTTATTTAAATAGTATAAATATTTTTGTGTTTTGCCTTTCTTAATTTTAATTCAGTTAGAAATGCTGAGTTTTGAATACCGATTCTTTATTTAAGTAAAAAAAAATTATACATTAACTCACATTGAATTTCTATAACATTACTTTGCTGGTTAAATTATTTTTGCATTTGTATTTATGAAATAAATTTATCATACAGTTCAAACCCAGTCAGTTACAGTTGATATTCATTTTATAAAAGCTAATAACATTTATAATAAATAAATAAGAAAATCCTATACAAACCCGCAGTGTCCACTCCATCATTATAAACAATCGCAAGCTGTACCGTTCCTTTAGACAGCCTATTAACAGCCTCATTCAGGCTTCTCTTCAGTTCTTGATGTTGTTGTTTTAGAGTTGATTTAGACTTATCGTAAGGTTTACAGAATGAAGGCCTAATTCCTTTAATTTCTATCTCGCACCCACTCCAACCGTATAATGCACTTTTAATCCCATTTTTTTCAGCTGTTACCCATATTGGTTCCGCTTTATCCCACCAGTGAGGATTTAAGTCACCTGGCTGATTTCCTTTCATAAAGAATTCATCTCTCTCCTTATCATACATGTAGTTATGAATCATTCCATGATTCTCAGGATACAGACCTTTAACAAAAGAACACATTAATTCAAAAATATAAAGTACAAGTAATAATAGTATACAAAGAATTTTTCATTTCATACATATTCCTTATATGCTAATTAGAATAAAACACAAGTAAACAGGAATTTGCATAAAACAAAACTTGCTCTTTAACTATTATGTAATTTATTACTAGGTTTTTATATCAAATTGTGAATTATAATTGTCTTATTTATTTAATTAATTTCTCTAATTATTATTAGAATTTCGGCAACATAAGAACAAAACAACCACAAGCCTGATATAAGAAGACTTCAGGTGCTGTAAGTTATAAAAAATAGAAGTTATATATTTTACTAATAAAGAAATGTTTTACACTTTTTTAAAACTTATTAACACCAGTGTCTGTACAATATAGCATATGCTGGGGAAGCAAGCAGCCCCCCACCCCAATAATTATATGCATATATATATATATATACACACACACACACATATACATAACATGTGTTTAATGTGCCCTTCCCCCATTAGCAGTCAAATTAAAATTTCTGCATAAAATTCTGGAGCCTAAGTACTACTACTTGTACATTTTGATATCCTGAGAGAAAAATACTTTGATGTAGGGTTAATGTTGTTCTGCTTACCTATGTTAAAATAAGAACAAAGTTGGAATGTTTCTTTATTTAAGAAAGTAGAGAAGGATGAAAAACTGTTAGTGTTAATACAAAGCACACACAAAATGGCCACAAGTAGAATGGCTAATACTCTCAAACATCAGCTGTCTGTTTGTTCTGATGTGTTGATAAATATGGTCAGGGTTCAAAATAAATGCTAGCAAAGTAACTAATTCAGTGATTGCTGGTTAGTGTTGCAGTTTTGGTAGTAAAACTAAGTTAAAAGGTGCTAGAAAATAAAAAGTTTCATACATGTATTATGAGCCACAGTTATGCTAATAACGTAAAAATAAAACTTTTAATTCACTCAAGTCGGTCATGGTAATATATTTTTTCAAAGTCACGTTATACTGATTTCCAGATTACTAATAGTAATACTATACTAGTTATAGTTACAACAATACAAGCGTATTTACCTGTAACGACTGTATACCAGTTTGGGTAGTCACTTGTCGGGAAAATCGGTTTCACATATTCTGCTTTAACACCGCTTTTTGCTAATCTTTTAAAACCTTTCAGCGAAGGCTCATTATCAATATAATCCCAACGCCATCCATCCGCTAAAATCAATAAAAGTTTATATTCAGTTGGACTTGAATCTTTTTCCAATCGTTTCGTAGAGCTTCCAAAAAATAATCTTGCCAACAAGTCTGCTGAAGCTAGATGAAACAGATAAGCTAATAATGCAAGTAGCAAAACTATATTACAACTTTTGAAAAACGACAAGATACAAACCATGGTGAGGTTAGTAAATATAACCCCTTCCCAAAATACAAACACAGTAAACTTAACGTATATTTCTCACGTTCTGAACACAACCGTAATTTTCACCTAACTATTTGATATTACATACCCTACGATTGTAGCACCCTCTACTAAGTGGTAGGGAAATATCATACTGTTTATTTTTTAATGACCTGTAATCTAGATTAGATGTTGTTATTTGTTTTAGAGCAAAGTCACATGGGGCTATCTGCTGTGTCTATCGAGGGAATCGAACCCCGGATTTTAGCATTGTAAGTCTGTAAACTTACCACTCGGGTATTCTAATAAGTTCGTTTGTTTTAAACGTAAAGCTACACAGGGGGAAATCAGCGCGTTACCCATCGCGCCAAATCGAAACCCGAATTTGAGTACTAACCCACCAGGGGACTATATTCTAATAAGATAATTTCAAAAACAAAAAAGAAAGAAATAGATTCAGAGGTGCAACATAAAGAAGGAGATCCAGAAATGCAATACTAACCGTGCTTAAACATTTTATAATGATTAGTTTCATATTATTTTTTGTTTAAGTTATTACAAGCAAATAAAACAAATTGCACCTTTTCCTTACAAATCATATTGAAGCTCCCAAATATAAAAAAACAAAAATTTAATACGCCAACGAGGTGATCAACTTAAGGAAAACAACAACGACTATTCAGGCTTATTTTTGTCTTTTCTAATAAGCTTGTTATGCACAAAGTTAGATAGTGAGTTCTCTGAGCTGTGCCAACCGCAGGGCTCGAAAGACGAATTTTAGCGTAATAAGCCCACATAGTACTGCTGAATTACAGGGAGCATACGCAGACAAAGTGAAACACTTTTACATTTAATAATATGTATAATTTGTATCTTTAACTTTGCTGGTAATAGCGCTGATCATAAGACCAAAAAACTATAGAACTCCTTGGAAAATTATAAAAAGGTAGAATTGGAAGATAGTCAACCCTGGGGAGCCAAACAATGACGAGATGTAACAGGCCCTGTGATGTTCAACCCTGGAGAGTCTAACAATGATCAGATGTGACAGGCCCTGTGTTGTACTCTCTAATGGCACCGATTTCCCTTTCAGAGTAATCGGGTAGGAGCTGTAGAGTAACAAGAAGTTCAGATAGCAAATATATTGAAGAACAAAAATATGAATTCTTCTATCTTGATGAACTTCTATGAAAAATAAAGAGTGAACTGGACACAAATTAAACGTATTGAAATAATCTGTATTTCAGACAAAGAACAATCAATGTTTAAAAACAAGTATACCACTTCTACTGAAGAGCTCTCAGATCAAATCGTGCATTTAAATCAAATCATCATGTTCCAGACTGAAAAAAACATGGCATTATATACGGAAAACAACAGTGTCACTTTTCTCAGGATGCAGGTCTCTCTTGCTACAAAATATGGGATGTTGTATCTTTGGAGTATCACCTGAGTTGCCAGTGGAAAAGATCACTATCCATTTCTATTCTGTATGCTCCATTTTACAGGAATCTTTCTGATGAGAAGATGCGCGTGACATCTTGGTTGAAAGACCTAGTTCAGCAGGTAAACAGGGCAAGAGAAACTTGGTGGCTCCCTTGACCAACATTCTCAATTAGACTACTTACTCAATATGCAAATACATTTTGTTTTTGAAAATATTAAATAAGGGGTAGGAAGCACATAGCATACTTGCATATCATACCTGCAGCACCTACACCTGCTTCAACAACATATCCATGCATATTGATGGCTGATGAGTGTCCTGGTCTACTCTACATCATAGAAATTATAGTTTTATATAACCCCAGTTTAATCGAATACGAGGTAACAAACCCAGGAGTTGCATTGACAGGCAGTGACCCCTCAAATGGAGGTTGGCCACTTTGTATGAATTAAAAAGAGAATTATTCTACTGATTTTAAGAACTTATAATTAAAGAAACATGTATAACAATAAATCAACCGTTCTATATCTGCTGTAGTGAATGTCAACGAGGCCTTTCACCTAATACCATGCTCCTCAGGCTGGTGGCTTTCTGACTACATACATATTGATTCCCTAGCTTTCGCTTTTACTGATTACACTATAAAGCACTTTGTTTTCCAGCAGTCTCATTCCCTCAAAATGTCAATGAAAACCTTCCATGGTTGCCATTTTTGCCTTACTAGTACATAGGAGGTCGATGTCCTGCCAGTGGAATTGTTCTGGATTTTGATATAGTGACTTCTTTTGTGAACTTGTCAGCTCTATCATACGTCCAGGTGATGGTCTTACCATACATGTGCTTTGCTTTCTGCCATCCCTCTGAGAAACAATTACTAAGAATTTAATGCAGTACTGCCTGCAAGCTAGTCCCAAATAATTTGTTGGTGACACTGTCTATTTCTGGTTCCTTGCTTTCAGCAATTCAGAAAAAAAGGTTACTTTATGGCTTCCAGGCTTCTTTCCCTGCTTATGGAAATCTTGAATGTTCCACCAGCCGTATACAGAATGTTGTTATTCTAAAAGACGATTGTCAAACTAGCCTTCTCGTTATCTATGGCATATCTATGATCTGTAGCTATGATGACAGGTGAGTGTCCATCATGGTCTTTAAGTACTGACAGTCATTTTCTTCTTTAATCTCTATATTTTCTATCTATGTTTATTTCCACAAATACTAGTGATGTCAAATCTGGTATAGTAACTAATTATATCATTGTTGGATATGTATGACACTGTCCATCCATGAATATCTTTTGAGGTAGCTTTTAGACAATCCTCTGATGGTCTCTGCAGGGCTGTTGTGGAGTTTGAAAAGGGCAGTGGCTCAGTGATGAAATTCATGACATTTGCACTGCAAGGCTATAGTGGATAATTTCTCTGTAAGCTTTGTTGATGACGTACAATACTTCTGAGGTTTGTGAAGTGTAGTAAGGCCTTGGTGGAAATGGCCCGGTCTTAAACAGTTATTTTGTACCTTTTCGATCCTATCTAGCTGCATAATACCTATGTTGACCATAAGGAGAACATAATTCTGGATAGAGCAGATAAGAGGTAGAGCATTCGAACGTAATGTTCTTTAGCTTTATTTCCTGCTGCAGTTTTGGCGTATTGTATCATGATGTTAATATCAGTGTATAACTGTGTATTGATACCTTTGGTTACTCTGGTTATTATGATGTTAATGTAGCTGGTGAAGTAGTTTGACAAAGGTTATCTCCCTCACAGGTTCTTCCAACGAGATGGTAGTACATGAAAAGAATGGTGATGGTTTGTCCTCATGAGCATGTTTATTGTTGAGTGTGCAGAACATGGCTGTGGCTTTAGAAGAATCGATGTGTCATTGCACCATTTGTTCACCCTGCTCTGGGATGGTTACATCTTGCTTTGAATTCAGTTTTGCTAGAGCATCCAATGTACACCAGAACATCATCAATGGTTAGCGCATAGTATCTATCTAACTGAACCATTACGTGGGCTAGACACACACTAGAGATGTTGAAGAGGACTAGGAAGAATGATGATGATGGTGATCCAGTATGATTGGCAGTATCTATGCTTCATGATGCATCTTATGCTAATTAATATAAGTATGACCCATCTTACACACGGTTTTTTAATTTCACTCAAAACGATGCATAATTAAGAACATAAAAAAAATAGTGCATATAGCAGCAGAGATGTCACACAAATCAAGGTAAGTGTGTTAGGGTTTCGTCAGTGAAAAAAGTTTGGAAACCACTACATTACACCGATGCCTACTGTGAGCATTTTCTCAGCAATATATGGCTGTTTTTTGAAATTCACTTTGTATTTAATATGGTGTTGCATGGAACTTACCAAGGAATTTTAAGAATGTTCTTTACACAGTAGTTACTTGCTTAAGCCAAAAGATATATATATACATTTGTCTCTTAACTTTTATTATCCTTCAGTTGACTTTGTTTTGTAATCACCTCCCATTGCATTGTTATAGAAATTTTACCAAGCATTCCTTGGGCTATTACATGAAGTAATAGACATGAAACTGAAAGATATTATAATTGAAGCACTTTTAAAAGCATATCACCTAAATTGGGTAAAATTATTTTAGATTTTTTTATAACGAACAGTCAATTTAACCTCAGATTTCTGGGCCCTAATTGAGCATAATATACAAGATGAAGCAATACAAGAAGTCAGTTTCACTAGAAGGGTAATATAATTATGTTCATTCTTTGTTACAAAAAGAGGGTTCATGTGACACTTACTATGGGTTCTAATTGAACAAAAGTTATTGTGACAGTCTCCTTAAAGATGACAAGATCCCAGAATAACACATTTGTATCTGCGGTGACAAATATCAGTGATAAGCATTAATTAGTGACTGTGTACTAAGATTAAGGTGATCTCAAAATTTCACTTTACTTATGTGAATGAACCAGTCAGTTTTTCAATACAGGTTTGTTCATTTATTTTGAATTTCGCACAAAGCTACACGAGGGCTATCTGCACTAGCCGTTCCAAATTTAGCAGTGTAAGACTACAGGGAAGGCAGCTAGTAATCACCACCCACTGCCAACTCTTGGGCTACTCTTTTACCAACAAATAGTGGGATTGACCGTCACATTATAACACTCCCACTGCTGAAAGGGCGAGCGTGTTTGGTGGGACGAGGATTTGAACCCGCGACCCACAGGTTGTGAGTCGAGCACCCTAACCACCTTGCCAGGAGGAACCCTCCAATACATGACATAATAAAGTTATAAAAAAAGTGAAATAATAGTGTTTTATCTATTAATCTAGTATACTTATGGACAAAGCTACTGAAAACTAAGTCATTTCTTTGTTTCTTTATTGTTTACAATATGAACACATAATGCTGTTCAGCTAAATGTTTTTATTTTATTTATTTGAGGTTTCTTACTAACAAAGACATTCCATGCCTTGTGGTTTCCTAAACAGCAGATTTATTATATAAATGTTCACATGAATGTGTAAACTGACAAGGAACAACAAAACTAACTGGTGTGCTTCATACACATTTGTCCAGGTTCTAAACTAATACATTGTCAGTTTTCATACAAAAAATCATGATATTTTTTCTTCTCTTTTCAATAACAATTCATTGTAGTGCAAGATTTTCAAAAATAAAATGATTACCATGACCTGAACTGAAGTGGCCTCACAATCAAAGCCAGATATAATTTTGTAAACACCTGCTGTAATTTATTATAAAAACTTACGAGTAAAAAGTAACGAAAATGTAATAATATGTCACCCACATTATACGTACTATATCCAGTGCTGATGGGGCCTTTCACCAAATACCAGGGTTCATCAGGCCAGCTGGGATATGACAAACACAATAGTGGTCTATTTATATTGTTTGAACAGCAACAACTGTTTTGGTGTGAACTAGATTAGGTTAGTGAACTGTAATTTTATTTATATCGTTATATATCAGAATTAGGTAGACATTTTACCCAGCACAGTCCCTGCAAAGAACTATATCTGAACACATAAAACAAAACCTCTATCATGAGCAAGAATGTTATGCAAAATCCCAAAACAACTGGTAGTTGATTTCTTTGTAAGTTGATAAATTTTTTTACATGAAAAATGCTTATTATTAAAAATAATAAAATTGTGTTTTTAGGTGTGTTTTTTTTTTAAATGAGAATTAGTTAAGTAACCTTAATTTCTGACATTCTTCACTTCATATAAAGTTTAGTATTTCTTGAGTTTCACTAACTTACGTGAAACCTTCCCTTTTAACCTACATCAAGAAACATCATTTCGAATTACCAAACATTTAAATTAGTCTGTGTTAATTCATTAAAAGTATATTTTTATTTACATTACATTACATGTCTATTTAAACCTTTCATACACGACGTGGAAACAGACGAATGAACATAATCATCCATAAAAATGTCAGGCAAACGAGTCCTATCATCAGCCACAACCACCAGTTACAGGATCTGTGAGCATGTTTCTCGAGTCTGTCACTTTCAATCTTCAGCTGTCCATAATTTTTATCTGCTAACTTGGAGGATTTTTCTATGACCTTAAAAGTATAAAGCAACTAGTATGTGAACAATGTTCTTGAAATACTTCTGTATAATACAAGTACGTAATTTCTACAGTTAGAAGTACATGAAACTTTTCTTTATATATATATCCTATCATTAAATCCAAATTTATGATTCTCCCCAAGTTGAAAAAAAAAAGACCAAATATAATGTAAAAAACGAAGTTACCTTCACTAAAATCAAAACCATTAAAAATTTTGAGAGTAAACTGTGTTTACAGACAGCTGTGCTTTCTTTAAGGAGAGAGAGAGAGCTTTTATAGATACAAAGAAACATCTGAAATCAATATTAATGAGATTGGGACAGTACAGAAACTACATACTTTATGTGCCACTCATGTTAATCTGAAAGCAGAATAGGAAGTATATATATATATATATATATGTGCTTGAGGTGTCAAGATTTAACAATAGTTAAGATAATTGCTATCATCTATACAGTATATCCAATTATGCAATCTCTTCCATGAGAAAATGCATGTGACACCAAAGGGGAATGATCCAGGACAATGTTTAACTCGGGTGACAGGAACTTAGCTATAAAATATCATTACATCTACTTACAACAACTATACCACTGTCTATATCATTATATCTACTTACAACAACTATACCACCAACTGTCTATATCATTATATCTACTTACAGCAACTATACCACCAACTGTCTATATCATTATATCTACTTACAACAACTATACCACCAACTGTCTATATCATTATATCTACTTACAACAACTATACCACCAACTGTCTATAAAATATCATTATATCTACTTACAACAACTATACCACCAACTGTCTATATCATTTTATCTACTTACAGCAACTATACCACCAACTGTCTATAAAATATCATTATATCTACTTACAACAACTATACTACCAACTGTCAATATCATTTTATCTACTTACAACAACTATACTACCAACTGTCAATATCATTATATCTACTTACAACAACTATACCACCAACTGTCTATATCATTATATCTACTTACAACAACTATACTACCAACTGTCAATATCATTATATCTACTTACAACAACTATACCACTGTCTATATCATTATATCTACTTACAGCAACTATACCACTGTCTATATCATTATATCTACTTACAGCAACTATACCACCAACTGTCTATATCATTATATCTACTTACAACAACTATACCATCAACTGTCTATATCATTATATCTACTTACAACAACTCTCAAATATCATTAATTCTCAAGCTTCTCTTAACTATTATACATATATATATATATATCTTTCTGCATCAGCCTACTAGTGAAAATTACAACAATTCTGTCACTCTGTCTTTAACTTTCCACATCAGCATTTTAACCCATTTACAATTTTCTATATCTAAAAACAGCAGTAACCCACTGTAACACTTTTCTTTATCTACAAACATTATAATCCACTCAAGTCCTTGCATATTTTTGATCTATAAACACTAGTAGCAACTTAATATGTTATGTGCTATACTTATCGTTACTTAACAACAGTAATTAACTGATACTTATGCTTTTAGTGATAGAAGATGCTATCTTTACCTCTGTGTCTTTCTTTATGATGTGTCCAGCCAGTAAAGAATTTTGTTTTAAACTCTGTGCTAAGGTAACCATTTCTGATGCAATTTTTTCCTGTACACTATGATGATATCGCAATACAGAATCCAAATCCTCTGTCTGTGATGTGTCTGAGGGACTCTTTCGCTGACGAATACTATCACTGCTGCCATCTACTGGTCAAAATTAGATAATGACAAAACAATATTTTCAAATAATACAAAAATCATGACTTGCACTCTTTGTTTTCTTAAATTGATCTCAACCAAAGCTTAATCAAGAGAAATTAATTTTATGAAAATGGATGTAATATTTTTAATTGAAGTAACAACTACCGAGTCCAAGTTTTCAAATATCACAATTGTTTATTGAGCAACTTGAACCATCATTCTACTAAAAGTAAGTATTTTTTTTACAAATATAAATAATATAATAACTGAACAAAAACTAATTTTAAAAATGTGGTTAAAAAAAAGATTCTAGCTTTCTGTTACAGTTTATGTTAAATGTCCAGTTTTGTAAGTGACCTCATTAATTCTCATTTACAAGAATAATACCATATAAATGACACTTTAATATTATAAAAATAGGCTATTTGACGGTTCTGTTGTTCACTGCATAAGTATCTTTAATAATGGGTAATATTGCATGCTTTACTAGTGACCTAAGAGTGTACTGGTTTTATCTTAATAACATAAAAATATTTACTTATTTCATTATTACTCATATGAAGAGTTATTACAGACAGATGAGTTTGAGTTAAGAAAACAAGTCTGACCGTATATGATTTGAAGATAAATAAAATTTAAGGGCTATCTCATGCACTTTTAAACTCTGTGGCTACCTGCTCTCTCTCTCTCTGCATTTTTAGCCTAAGTTTAAAAGACAGTATTTTTAATTCTTAAGTTCGACCTTCGTTTCATTTTATAACCTAACGGTAATATAACATTTAAAATAATATAAAATATTCAATATACCAACAATCATCAATAAAATTAGACAATTTTTAGTTTAAGCTTTGACTCTGTCACCCATTGTAAATGATTATAAACTTTTTGAGAAGAAAAACGTTTATAAAAAAATAAACAAAATCTGTAAAAGAAAAAACAGATTTCCATAATCACCTAAAAAAATGTCAGTTCAGTTAGTATTACTACCCCACTTCGATTCCTCCAATAATAGTTATATTATTTATCAATTATGGTATATCTTTCTAATTATACAAAGGAATCTGTATAACATTTTACATTACATCTCCTCACTTAAGGCGTGATACAATATTTTAAATCATAAGACTACTAATATTACTTTGAACTTCTCAACCCACCAACAGGTACAGTATCTGCATCTTTACTGCCAAAAAGTTCTTTTCTCATCTCCTGGGTATAACGTGACTGATTTTGAAGATGAATTTCTTTTGTTCGAGAATAATTAGGCGAAGAAGAAAGTCCAGAGAATAACAATTGGTTTGCCATTGCTTTTTCAACTGCTGAAGGCTAGAACCATAACATAGATACAGAATATTGATCAATAACACACTGAGTTCAACCACACCTACAAAAAACTGGTTGAAAGCTTTAATATAATTTAAATTACATAACTTCATCAAAAAGTGGAAGTTTGGTAAAATAATTTTCATTTCAGTATATTTCTTTCAATTTTTTATTTCATACACAACATTAAGTGGGCTTACAAATGTCTACAAAGGTCAGGTCGCAGAGAATATTTTTTAACAAACTTTTTCCTGATATATTTGATTTGTTGATTTATAGATATCGTTATTTTCTTTAAAATAAACAAAATAATAAGATTAAACTTTGCAATATGGAGGAAATAAAAACTTCACAATATCGACAAAATTAAAAGAAACACAAAAATTCCCTTATCTCTTACAAAGGTTTACACAAAACTCAACCTGTTCTAGATCTAGATTTATCTGACTAATTAGAAATAATTAAAATTTGTCCACAAGCAACTACATTTTGTTGTTACAGAAGAGAAGTTTTACAAATGAAGGTAGTTCTTACAAGTTTGTCTGCGTTAATAACTCCTTTAAGAAATTCAACTTTTTTCGTATATTCGGCTAATGATTCTTTACTAGGCTGACTGAAAGAGATAAAAACAAAAAATGTAAATAAAACACAAGTTATTCTCAAATTTCACAAATAAACACAAACTTTTTACAAAACAAAAGATACTAAACACATACGCAGTTTCAGGCAAAAGATAAAACTATGTCAAATGTGCTCCTCACTAGGTAAACAAATTTTCAAAAATTGTATTTACAATAACATAATGAAATCATGACAAGCCATTTACATTTATGTATGTGTAATTTTCCACATAAAAGCAGAATAACAAACTGTTGTGTTTGCTCAGTTCTGAAAAGTTCATAAGCTGAGAAAAAAATCTGGCCTTATACATTCTGTTCAATAACAATTTCCTTAAATTTAGCCGTTTGTATCTTTGAATGTACTAACACTGAGGGCATTAAGTTAATGCCATGAAGCATTATTGGATATGTTTTGAAATAATCCCTTACAGTTTTTAGCATTTTGAGAGAGTTAATGTCAATTAAATAGGTTGGTATCAAGTGCTAGAGAATGGGGGTTGTTGAATAAGTTCTTAATTGTTTGATCACTTCAAGAGATTTTGAACCCATGACTAAGTTTTTTTCTATCTATTCAGACTTTCTGTCATCCATTTTCATCAGAGTTACTGATAATAACATAACATTTAAGGACAACAAGGGATCTGTTGGTCTGTCTAAGCTGTTCCATTCACTAAACTATTTACTGCAGCACCCTATTACAGCACCCTATTACAACAAGGGATCTGTTGGTCTATCTAAGCTGTTTCATTCACTAAACTATTCACTGCAGCACCCTATTACACCCTATTACAGCACCCTATTACAACAAGGGATCTGTTGGTCT